TAGCAGAAGCTGGGGAGGTGCTCATATTTGAAGCGGATCCAAAATGACCCTATCTCCTCGCTTGCAGCCCATATTTGGTATCGAAGTGGCTGGGAGAAATCAATGAGCGCCTTTACTCTAATAAAGTTAGCCGCCGTGCCAGTTCACGTAAACACACCAGCTTCGAGCACTCGGTCGATAGTCGAGCTCGCCACTTTTCTCCCAAATTGCTGAGTGCAACAATCTTCATGCACATCCCACAATTGAAATCGGAATGGAGCAATTGCTAATTCGTCGAATGTACGTGCAGTGATCTGCGGCGTCCATGCCCGGAGGTGAAGAATTCTATCCTTGATCACCCACGGAGTGCGCTGAAGAGCCCAGTTCTTCGCCGCTTCATTGGGGAGAGTAAACTCGTACAGCTCATGAGCCACCTCCCGCACTTTGATGTTACCCTGGCCCTGCCACGGGTTGTTAACCGCAGCTTGCAGTTCCTTGGTTGTCAGCCGCTCCTCTGAGAAGACACGGCCGAGTAGCATCCTTGCTCTGCGCACCCTATCGGATTGGACCTCTGCAAGCGAAAATTCCACAACTTGGTCGCTGGTGATGCGTGCCATATTGCTTTTCTGCAACATAGTCGGCTCACTGAAGTCAGCAGTAGCCACAAAATCAAGAAATAAAGAAGCAGAAGGCCAATGATATGGGTAGCTAGAGAACAACGTAAAGAATTGCATGGAGGGCAGTCCATCCACCCAAAACCCGAAAATAAGCTCCACAGCCACGACAGACCACATACCCGAGTATGACTCTTGCTTGGAGATGAGAGAGCTGCTGCGTCGGGTCCGATTTTCCTTGCCACCGCTCCAGTGATGGGAAGGGGGAATAGAGAGGCGCAATAAATAGGCCAACTCGGGCCAAACCCTCCTTAGCGGCAAGGAGTCTATTCGGGATGGGAGACTTGAATTTTTAAAATTCAAATTCAAATTAAAATTAAAAAACCCCCTGCCAGATATTATCCCAATCCCGCTACCGATTCGCTGTAACTGCAAATCTCCCAGACCGTTACCCATTGCCGAGAAAAGCGCATGGTCGGCCGGACGTGGTAGGGCAACTGGGTGTCTGTTTTGGGAACGAATCCGGCGACGAGCCGGACGGCATAACAGCAGGGCCACCGGGTACCCCTTCTGACGAGCTTGGATTGTCAAAGACAGGGGCAGATTAATAAGACAAACATACTTTGATCGTGCCTCACACGGAGGTCAAAATCCCGAACCCGCCTCCCCGTGAGGTCTAAGTTCCCGGGGGAAAATTTCATCCACAGGATCCATTGATTTGCTATGAACCCTAAGGGATCGAGGATATAACCCATCAGAGGGATTATTCAAACAAAACTTGTATAAACTCGCCTCATATTGAGGTCTAAGTTCCAAACTCGCCTCACCGTGAGGTCTAAGTTCCCAAGGAGCAGTTTCAATCACCGGCTCCACTAAATTGATGTGTACCATATTCGATCGAGGATACAACCCATTAGTAGGGTTTTGCCAATCGTCTTCTACATCATCGGATGCCGGCAAGACAAAGCGCCATAAGACGCGTTTCGGATGGCATAATCTTTTGGAATACGCTTCTTCATTAGCGCACGCCGCCGCCTGACACTGCTCCTGTTTCCTCTTTAGAGTGGAAGTCGCGAACAAGCGATACCCAGTTGAGGTATTGGAAGTTCCATCCTGAGGTCTCCGCCGACGCAACCGTGTTGACGGATCTTGACCTCCCTTCTTAACTGGTGGCTGGCGAAGGTCTGCTTTCCAGTCTTCTATTTCACCTTGATTAGCTAGGGCCAAGAAGAAGATCGTTGTTATGCATCTGGTGATGGCGTTGCCGGCCGCTACCAGGGCTGCCGACCAGAGGGAGAGGAGAGAGGAGAGAGCTCTCCTCATAAGTTTTTTTTTTTTTTTTGGTTCATTTCGAGCTTAATTAAGTTCCAGATTGCTCGGACTTTTATTTACGTTAGATGTACAGAATTCACTTCTTGATGGGGATTTGAATGAAGCTGTCTGTATAGAGCACCCTTCCAGCTATTAAGAGAGCACCGCTGACCATTACTTCATCGATACCATATGCTAGTTTTGAAGAGTACAATTGTAGGTCTTGGGTTTTTTCAGGGGTTAATATTTTCGTATGTCCTGAACTTTGACAAAAATAAACATATTGACCAATCTTTTCGATCTATAACATCCTGACCCGAACTATACACCAAAATAAACAATTTGGCCAGATCCGACTTTTAACCGTTAACTTGAACGGTCAAACGCGTTGGCCGTTAGTCAACGCGCCATGTCACTGCCAAGTCAGCATAAATATTTAAAATAATTCACAATTTCCACACATTCCCTAATTTTAAATTATTATAAATTAAAAAAATCATCTAATACCTTAGTTAAATCAAAAATAAAAAACAAAAAAAATTAAATATTTATCAGATCTTCTAACTTGGCAGTGATGTGGCGCGTTGACTGTTAGTCAACGCGTTTGACCGTCCAAGTTAACGGTCAAACATCGGGTTGGGCCAAATTGTTTATTTTGGCGTATAGTTCGGGCCATGATGTTATAGATCGAAAAGATTGGGCAAGATGTTTATTTTTGTCAAAGTTCAGGCCATACAAAAATATTAACTTTTTTCAGAGCCTGTACGATCGACCTTCACTTTTTATTTGAAGGTCCATAGTGGTGATGATTTCGATGGTGTTCATCATCTTACTATAAGATTAGATGCTTCAATTAGCCATAAGGAGGTTGGTTTTCTCACTTTTACTTCTTTGAACTGGAAGTTAGTCCCTCCGTCGATGGTAACTATCTTGGTCAAGAAAAGTACAGTATGGATGTTGTTGTTTCTACTAACTTTGATGAAGTGCATCCTATCGCAACTCATATGGAACTGAATATAAAGCTCGATAGGGAGAGTGGCGAGTCTATGGCTATGGCTTATGAGTCTCAGTAACGATGGGTGGTTGTTGATCTCTTATTTGGATGGCACAATTGATGTCATACTCAGATTTCAAGAAGGCGTAATTCTGCATACTTCTAGGCGCTCCTATGCACTAGGCAGTGACAAAACACCTCGCTTAGGACTAGGAGCTGTTACACTTAGGCGAAACTAGGAATGATTAATCGTGTGAGGCACGATTAATCGCAGTGAAGCACGCTTAATTGCTCTAGCTTACCAAGGATTTAAAAAAATAGAAGTTGATCTTCTCAAAATGACGCAATCCCCAGCTATCCTATATTCAACGCATTCTTCACTCATTACTCGATTTGGAATTTCAATTCTAGGTCATATGCCATATTTTGATTATTATTGAGGGTTTGCTAAGTTATTAATCATTTAAAATTGAACTAAAAGTAAAAACATACCATAAAATTGTTATATTTACTAAAATCATTATTTTTGCCAAAAGACTTAGCCGTTGTCTAGGCACCGCTTATACGTGCTAGGTGTTGGCAATGTCCCAACGCCTTCCTTGCACGTTGTTGAACCTTGCATATAGCTAATGATCTGAGGAGAGAATTGGAATCTAGAAGGGCATGTATTCGTTTTGTCAATAATATGTTAGGAAGCTAGAAGATGTAAAATGGAATGTTTTCCCAAACGTTGTACTTATGATTACTTTTTGAAAAGATTCACGTATCCAAGGTACATATCATGTCCTTCTTGAACCAACTAGCTTTTTTTTTTCTTTCTTCCACCTCGGTTGAACCATTACCTGAACTGAACAAACGCGTTACTTCCTAACTAATTATCACCACAACAACAAGAGAAAGCATCATTAGCATAGTCCTTCCGCGGTGCTTCAAGAAGAACGGAAAAACATAGCGCTTTCGCTGGCTCCCTCTCTCCGTGTTCTTAACTTTGCAACAGAGCATACTAAGCTACGGCTCTCCCCCTATCTTAGCTAATCAAGCTTCAAACACTGTCCCTCCAAAAGGGTTCCGATTTTGGTTCAAATACCTGCCTTTTCTTTTTTACGCGGCACTTCACCACTGTATTTACACCTCCAAACCGAATGAAGTTTTGTAACTAGACAAAGAATAATGCTCATAGTTGTTTTTCCTTTACCTTTTTTCCACCTTATCACCAAAAGTAAATGGTGATAGTGGTTGTGCCTAATTAAGTCGAAATGTTTTGATCGGTATAAAAAAATATTGAGTTTAGATTAGGGATGAAAAAATAACTCATTATCGTGGATAGCCAACCCATATTATCTTTAGATGGGTTTTTCCCGAACTCGATAAGGAGGGCAATGAATTTGGAGCGATTTTGGTATTTTAAGTATCCACACTGAACCCACCTGAATATGTATTATAACTATGTTTAGACTCACTCACTCAAAAACTTTGTTCATCCGTATCTCTCAAACATTATAATTATCTCTTATACCTCAAATCTTACTCATTTTCTCTCAATCTTACAAATCATGCGACAAAGAAACTTCAATCAACATTTACATTCTAAGAAAGAATTTAGGAAGATGATTATGATATTAAATCGTGATTTAGGAATAGTATGTAAGAAAAACAGCCCCACCCAAATCCGATGTCATCTATATATATATAATTTTTCTAGTGATCAAATTATACATCTTGATTCATCGACATCCATTGTCGATTTTTCAATTACGATAACCAAAATTTACCTGAATATCAACCAAGGTAACCTAGAGGAAGCGATGACTGAATCTTATTCGCCACGCCAAACCTTAAAGTAGCGTCGTACTTTCACCTCTATATAGAACCCAAATTTATATTAAACAAAATAACCAATAATCAAAACAGAAAACAAAATAAAACAAAAAGAACCAAAAAAAGACCTCCCCCCCTCTCTCTCTCTCTCTGCCCTTTTCTTCCTTCCCCCTATTTCCATCATCTCTCTCTCTATCTCTGTCTGTCTGTCTGTCTGTCTGTCTGTCTTGATCAAATAAGTTCCTCCCCACCACCACAGCCCTCCTCCATATATTCATCAGTTCCTCCCTTCTCCCCTTTCCTCCCCTCCCCGCAAAGTTCCATTTTTTGGTTTCTTCTCTTCTTCTTCTTCTTCTTCTTCTTCTTCTTCTCTGTCTCACTCTCCCCTGTTCTAGCTTCCGAAAATGTCCATAAACAATTTCTACCACCAAATCCCATCCGAACAGCAGGAGCAGCAACCGCAGTTGTGGTGGCAACAAATGGACCCAACCCCAACTACAATCCCAAACGCTTCTTCATCTTCCTCCAACTCCTCTTCCCCTTCTTCCTCCAAATTACAATCTCACCCCTCCAATTGGCCAACGCCGGCCCCCCACCACCACAACATCCCCAATTGGCTCTCCGCCGCCCACAACCAAATCCAGAACCACAACCACAACCTCAATTTCAATCTCAACCACGACGATGACGACGACGAATTGGAGGCGGAAAGAGTGGTAGAAGTAGACAAGGAAGGGATGTTCGAGAAGCCGCTGACGCCGTCGGACGTGGGGAAGCTGAACCGGCTGGTGATACCAAAGCAGCACGCGGAGCGGTACTTCCCGCTGGCGGGCGAGGCGGTGGAGAAGGGCCTGCTGCTGAGCTTCGAGGACGAGTCGGGGAAATGCTGGCGGTTCCGCTACTCCTACTGGAACAGCAGCCAGAGCTACGTGCTCACCAAAGGGTGGAGCCGCTACGTGAAGGAGAAGCAGCTGGACGCCGGCGACGTCGTTTTGTTCCAGCGCCACCGCAGCGACGCCCACAGGCTCTTCATTGCCTGGAGGAGGAGAGGCAGCAGCGCTAATAATTCTGATCATTATAGTCAACAGCTTTACAATCAGGCGGTCGGCAGCGGCGGAGGGGGGTGGGGGAGAGGAGTGGTAGGTGGCTTGAAGGCGGCGCAGCCTTATCTGGAAGACGGTGGCGGCGGTGGTGGTGGGATGCGGTCTAATAATGTGGGATACCAACAACCTGAGTGTGTTGATGCACCAGGTAATCCCCCCTTTTTTTTTGTTCTTTTTGTTCATAACTTCATATTCATAATTTCCAGCACATGACTTGCCTCGTTTTCCATATATTTGTTTTCCAAAATCATTTCTTTTTTTTTTTTAAGAAATATTTTCTTCCCTCAGTTTGCAATTTGTTCTGAATTTGGTGACAATAATAATAATTGGGTGGTGAGTTCAGTTCACTTGCATCGAAGTGGGCGTGTGGAACACCTTCCAATTAACTAGGAGGAATGTGGTGGTTCTAGCCTAGCCTTAATTTTCATTTTTCCGGTTCAGATTTTTAATTGTGCTAGGAGTTGAAATGTTGGGCAGGTGTGTTGAGAAACTCACGTGGCCGTGTTAGAGACAACGTTCATGGTCATTCTTGTTAATTAATTAAATTAAAATGAAAAAAGAGGGGGGCAAGTTGGGGTATTTATAAATTTCATGGTTTGTGAAAAGCATGTTATTAGTATGTGTTGTTTATTTATGGGGAAGAACAATAGTATTAATAATGTGGGGATGAAAAATTAATGGTACAGGAGAGGATGAGCCAAGTGGAGGCAAGATGCTGAGGCTGTTCGGTGTGAACATGGAGTGGCAGCCGGAATATCAGTGTTCGTCGGTGGCCGAGCCTACTTCTTCTGCAGCACTTCATCTACTTGATCATGATAACTAGACTTCTCCCCTCCTCAGGATGAGATACACTTGACGACTTGATTCCACACAAACAGGAGAAAAAGAATAGGGAGGGAAATTATTGCCCCCCTTTTTTTAATTCTCCATTTCTGGCTGGGCTTACGAGCTGGCTCCTGATGATCATATGAGGATTATCAAAAAAAAAAAAAAGGAAGAAAAGAGATAGGGACTAGTTGATACAGATAGTGCCCTAATTAATTTGATAATTAGGTTTTGTTAGTGTCTCTTATGGTGAGACAGATTGTTATAATTAGGCATGCACATGTGTCGAATTTGCAATTAAAGATTACTCTGCAAATTAATTAAATTAAGTTAGTCTAACAGCTGATCAGGAGAGGATTAAACAATCAGGTCGCTCTCACTCCCTCCTTTGATTACTTCTTATTATTAAATAAATCATTTTCCTTTTTTTCTTTTCTTTTGGTGAGGTGTTAGCAGTGGTAGTAGGTCGCAGATTTGGGGGCAGTAAAATATCATCTCACGTACAAGTCTTGCGACGCTGGCAATATGGATACTAATTAATATTATTATATTGACCAATAGATCTAACCAAGGCTGTTATCAATTGACTAATGCCTCTGTGGGCCCACCCTGCCAACGTCTAACCCGCCTTCTTTACTTTATGATTTTGCGATTTAGTGGTTGTTTGGATGAATCAATTGAAAAATCAAACAATCTAATTGTATCATTTTACAAAATGAGTCATTTAAAACGAGTCAATTTATATTGTTTGCCTTCATCCCAGATAATTGTAATTGTCCTAAAATGAGTCGATTTGAAATTTTCGAAGTCCAATTGATTCATTCAAATTTTATGTAGGGAAATCGATCAATTTGGCAAGATTGTTGCTAAACGAAACAATTGGTTCAAATTAATCTGTTACAAATCCTTATCCAAATGACCCTTGCATATTTTGTTGGGTTTGGAGGTGGTCGGTTGGGTTTGGATTCCCTCCTTTTGTTGTGTGCACATAATAGGGGTGATCAAGCAGTGGTTACTAACATAACATCAGATGAAGATAGAGTGTCGAAGTAAGACACGGAAACCAGACCGACCAAATCACAGAGACAGAAAGAGAGACGTCCGGTCCATATTTGTACTGTAGGTTCATTGTTCAACGCAAGTGGCAATTAGTTTGAATTTCGGGTCTGTCTTTCTTTCCTTTTTCTAGTTCCCTGTCTATTTAGCTATCTTGTGCGTAAAGTTGGAAAGCAACCGTCATTTGCCCGAAATACCAATAAAGCAGCCCGTTGCTATCATTCTATTTGGGTTCGCAAAATCAAACCCTCAACAACTAACACGTACCATATATGAATACTACGGGATGCCGAAACCTCTGCACATACACATTCTGCTTCTATTCTATATATAGATCGAGCCTTAGACCAACTCCAAGTATATGTCTATTAAAACTAATAAGTTTTCAATTTCAACTTTTTTTATATCCTAATTATACAACTTTCAAATCTAATACCCTCACCTTTTCACTTTTCATTTTCTAACACAAAACTTATATGCATACTAATTTTACTTTGACCTTTTCATGGTTCTTCTTTATTATTTAAACAATTTTTAGATGTACTTTTTATTTTGTCAATTTTTCAAAAATAAATATTTCAACAATTTCTTTATTGTTTAAATTTTGATTAGAGAAAAGAACGCGCACGCATCTCTTCTCTCTCTTCGTTTCTCTGAACCCTAAAATCAAGTTTTTTACCGATGACGGCCGTCACTATCGGTGCGGCAGCCGTCGGTGACGGTCGATCGTGGGCGTCGTTGTTCGATATCCCGGAGGACAATCGGTTGGACTACTATGAGCCGGAGTATGTTAATGGCTCGCTGAGAATTCCGAGGGAGGTTGTGGAAGAAGGAGCTAAACGTTGGGAGACCAGTTTAGTGGGGCAGTTCATTGATCGCCCTGCGTCAATTTCGTCTATTCGATCCTGGGCTAATTGGCTATGGGGAAAAGATGGGGAGATTCGTGTTTCAGGTATGGGGCGGAGGCTAATACTCTTCCAATTCCCTAATGCTGATATCTGTCAGTGGGTATTCGAGAGCGGTCCTTGGCATCATAGGGAGAACTCGTTGTTTCTGCGCAAGTGGGAGCCAGGGATTAGCCCCTTGAAGATGGATGATTCCTCGTTGCCTATATGGGTGAAGCTTTCGCATCTGCCGATAGATTTAACTTCAAAGGAGGGATTGGGGCGAGTAGCAAGCTCTCTTGGGCATCCGCTCTGTATGGACTAGTCCACTACACGAGGTAAGAAGGTTGGGTTTGCTCAAATCTGTGTTGAAGTCAAAGCCAGTGCTAAGAAGATTTCCAAGCTGAGTGTTACTCCTGATGGTTTGCCTGAGCTATTCATAGATGTTGAGTATCGTCATATGCCTAAGGTATGTGAAAAATGTAGTTGTTTTGTCCATAGTTGCCACAAGCCTGTGGAAGAGCAGCAACAAGAATGGCAGAAGAAGGTTCCAGTACTTGGTGAGGCTCAGTTAGCTCCACAATCAAGTGATGGGGAAGTGCAGAGTGCAGTCCAGGAAGCTACTATTACAGAAGCTGGTAATGTCCCTGTGGAAGTTCTGGCTGATAAAGGAAAGGAAGTGCTGATTGAGAATCCTGTAAGTGTAGTCCTACCTAATACTAGAACTCATTCACCACAAGGAAGCCTGGTTGATGAAGAAGGGTTTACCCTGGTTGTCAATAAGAAGAATAGGGTATGGTTGGGCTCCAGTTCCAGCTCTCAGAGGCAGAGGGATTTATCAGGTAGGCTGGCTGTTGGATTGGCAAGTGGGAGAATGGGGACTAAAATTTCTTTTCCTCCTCCTCTGTCTCCACCAAGGGGTAGATGGAGGGGGGAAAGCGTGGAAAATGAAGATCCTAAGTTGGAATATCAGGGGGTTTTAATGCCCCTGATAAACACTCTGTAGTGTTAGAACAGCTGAGGGTGAAGAGGATTGATATAGTGGGTCTGTTAGAGACTAGAGTAGTAGAGGAAAATAGTAATACTATAATAACAAGTCATTTTTCTGCCTGGAAGCATCTAGCTAACTATACTAAATCTAATAATGGTAGGGTGTGGATTTTCTGGAGGGCAGGTCTAAAGGTTACTCTAGTTGATGAAGGCAAGCACTACATACAAGTCTTGGTGGATGATATTAAACTTTTTCATGTGGTATTTGTCTATAGTCCTAACAAGTAAGCAGAGCGCAAATTACTCTATCAAGAGCTGATGCTTCGTAGAGATGATGGAGTCCCAATGATCTTTATGGGGGACTTTAATGCAATATCTGATGTTACTGAGTCTTCCAGTTCCCAGGTGATTAATCAGATTATGCAGGATTTCCGTGGTTGGATTCAAGGCATGGAGTTAACTGATTATAAAGTGACAGGCTGCTGGTTTACTTGGTGGAATCGCCAGAGAAACAATCCAATAGCTCGAAGGATTGATAGGGTTCTGGTCAATGAAGCATGGTTGGAGGGTTTTGTGGAAAGCTTTATTTATACTAATCCTCCGGGGGTTTCTGACCATCGTGGGTTGATTGTAGACACAACTCCAAATCTGAAAACACTTCCCGGACCGTTCAAATATTTTGTGTTCAAGCAATCCCATCCTTTATACCTGGATATTATTCGAGATTCTTGGAAGAAGCAGGTTACAGGGTACCCTTATTATGTCTTTTATGGTAAGCTGAATCAAGTGAAAAATGAATTGCGCAAGCTTAATCGGGTTGTGTATTCAGATATCTCTAGTAGAGTTAAAGAAGCAGCTATTGTGCTAGAGAAAGCCCAAGAAGCAGTATTGAATGATTCTAGTGAGGCCAATGTAGCTGAGGAGAAACAACTAGTAATGGAGTATGGTGAACTTAAGAAAGCTAAGGAGTTGCATTACAAGCAGAAGTCTCGTGTCCACGCTATACAGGAGGGTGATTCAAATACATCTTACTTCCACAAGCTAGTAAGGGTCAAAACGCAGAGACAACAAATTTCTAGAATGAGGAATGCTCAGGGGGTTGTGGTTTCATATATTCAAGAGATAGGTGCTATAGTGGTGGAGTTCTATTCCAAGCTCATTGGTACTGAGGATCCGCTTGTTGAGCAGCAGCCAGTAACGTTCTACCAAGAAATATTGCAGCACAAGCTAACAGAGGTGGAGAGAGAGTTCTTAATGCAAGGTATCACTAGGGCATAAATCAAAGGAGTTTTCCATTCTCTCGGCCGTGATAAGGTGCCAGGGCCAGAGGGGTTCCCAGCAGAGTTTTTCAGGGCCCACTGGGATATCATTGGTAAAGAAGTTGAAGAGGTAACCCTTGTGTAGTAACCCTTATGCCTGCTATGGTTAATAGTACTATCTTTGCATTTGTAGCAAAAATTCCTTGTGCGGAGAATATGAAAGATTATCGACCTATCTCTTGTTGTAATACTCTATACAAAGGGATTTCAAAACTGTTAGCAAACAGACTGGCTCAGGTTCTCCCTAGTGTCATTAGTAAGTCCCAAACTGCGTTTATTAAAGGAAGAGCTATTAGTGATAATATTCTTTTAGTCTCTGAATTGGTGAGGAACTATCATTATAAGAATATTAGTCCAAGAAGTATGGTAAAGATTTACATTATGAAGGCTTTCGACTCTGTTAATTGGAAATTCGTGTTTACTATTATGGAAGCAATGGGGTTCCCTGTTGGTTTTCTGAAACTTCTGGCAGCCTATGTTACTACCCCAACTATAAAGATATCTTTGAATGGGGTTCTCTGTGGAAATATTAAAGCTAGAAAAGGTCTGAGGCAGGGTGATCCTCTATCACCCTACCTCTTTACCATAGCAATGGAGGTGTTAGATGGCCTTGCTAGAAAGGCAGTGAGGGAAAATCAGATTCCCTTCCATCCTCGTTGTCAGCCATTAATGATCACGCATTTATGTTTTGCGGATAATTTAATGGTTTTCACCAATGGCTCAGTGAGAGGGGTGGCAGGGATTAGGAGGCTGATGGATAAATTCTATACTCTCTCGGGGCTTAAGTGTAATGCGGCTAAATGCCAATTGTTTTGTGCTGGAATATCTAAGGAAGAGTAGCAGTATATCTCCAATGTAACAGAGTTTCCTCTTGGTTCTCTGATAAGTGGTAAGCTGACTAGGCAAGACTGTCAGGTGCTTAGTGACAAGATTACTCAGCGGCTTCGAAGTTGGAGGTCTCGGTCATTGACCTATGCAGGGCGTATTTAGTTGATTTCCTCAGTGATTACTAGCACTTTACAATATTGGCTTAACATTTTTCTGCTCCCTAAGTATATAATAAAGG